GAGAAGGGGATGGGTCAATGAAAAGTTGACATGAGGAGGGGGGGCGGGTCCTTACAAAATTAACGCCGACCATGATGCTCTAAAAGGTTGGGGGAAATAGAAAAGAATGGGAGAAAAAAAATCTCTCTGTCCCACATTCTCTTAAATTGGTTAAATTTGTTAATAAATTGAAAGACAGTTTTGGTATTTCTTTCTATTTCTTTAGTAAAACAATAGTTTTTATTTAAAAAATCTAAAATAAAGATCACAGGTGTGAATTAAAAAGGCATCCTGAACAGGTTCTACCTAAATGATAGGAAATGTACATTTTGGTTGACGTCAAATAGAAAGAATTTATGATGACGGGGGTCGGGGAGGGGGGGGGATGACGTCATTTGTGTCCGGAACCCTGTACCCCACATAAAAAGACATAGATATTTAGTTTTACTGAAGGAAAAAACTGAAGGTAGAAACAATGTACTCAGGCGGCGATATGTTCACATCTGATTTGTGTTTTGTCTATTGGTGTCTATTAATATCTGTCTATTGATTGTCTGTCTGTCTACGTTTTGACTGTGATTTGCATATTGTTTTGTCTGTAAGTCTTTTTTATCGTCTGTTTTTTTTTCCGTCTGTCTTCTATCTATTGTTTTTGTCTTTGTTTTGTCTGTCTGTCTTTTTTGTGTGTCTATGTCGCTCCTGTGTTCTGTCTGTGTTACATATATCTCACATGCAAAAGAGAGGGGGAAGAAGAGCCCCAATCTTCTTTGTAAAATTTGATGTTGGTAGATTAGAAAGAACCCAAAGCATCACCATCATCATCACCACCACCACCACCACCACCACCACCATCATCATCATCATCCTCTACCCAGCAGCTTACACTACAAAGATACAAAAAAAACTCAAACACTTTTTATCTTTATTGTTGTTATTATTGTTATCGTTCCTGTTCTGTGACTACCACTACCACTACTACCATTATGCCGAAGACTTCTATATATAGGATCTATGTACCTGAGCGACTTGCATGAATGCTATAACGATATTTTTGTTTTTATCCGTTGTTTTTTTGTTTGCAAGAGATGACCACTGAGCTGTGTGTGTATGTGTGTGCGTGCGTGCGTGTGTGTGCGTGCGTGTGTGTGTGTGTGCGTGTGTGTGTGTGTGCCGCTACGGCCTACAAGACTCTGTCTGTACCTGTATATAATGTTACTCTGGTTACACTTGGGGAAAAAAATCATCATTTTTGTTTGTTTTTTCTCCGACTTGTGTTTTGTCTTTAAGCATCCGAGTATTTGTTTTGAATAAATCCAATTTTAAAACTACGCTGCGAAAGTTTGTTTCGTTTCATTTGTTACAGAATGTCTCTGTTTTTGTCTGTCTGTCTGTCTTGTCAGTCTCTATCTGTCTATTGTCTCTCTCTATCTATGCTTCTATCTCTTTTTCTGTCGGTGTCTGTCCCTCTCCTCTCTCTTTATATATATATATATGTCTGTCTCCCTGTTTTTTTTTGTCTCACTCTCTCTGTCTGTGTCTCTGTCTGTCTCTATTTCTATCTCTGTCTGTGTGTCTCTTTTTGTCTCTGCCCAGGGTTGGTGATTTTTTAATTTTTTGAATAAAAATTTAAAAAATCAATTTTTAAAATTTAAATCAGATTTTTAAATTAAATTTAAATCGGATTTTTTTCGACACAGTTTGGGATTTTTTGTGGCTAAAAGTATGTTCCTTTAGTGCAAAAGGCATTGTCTTTATTTTAACTAAAGATTAATTTAAGCAACTGCAAAAGAAAGCCTTAATTTGCTATATCAGTGAATTATGGCTACAGACAAAAAAATGAAGAAAATGTCAGTCTAAAAGGAAGGGGGGGGGGGGGAAATAATGCATAGATAAACTTGCATTTTATTACAGTGTGTGTGTGTGTGTGAGCTTGTGTTTGTATAAAAAGAAAAAGAAAATGCTAATTTCAATTATAAAAAAAAAGTAAATTGAATACTGTATTATTTTACAGTGACATGGGGGAAAGCAAACTTTTAAGCATGATAAAATATTAGTCTACTAAACCTTATATCTGTTTTATAAAACAAAGGAAAGGAATTCCGAATGTTTAAAGACGTAAAAACAGAATACATTTTTAAAAATATGATTTAAATCACTGAATAAAAATAATCTTTCAAAAAAGTGATATAAATCACTGATTTTTGTTTAAAAAATCAAGTTGATTAAAATATTTAAAAAAATCAACTGATTTAAATCAACCCAGCTCTGATTTCAATTATGGAAAAAAAGTAAATTGAATACTGTATTATTTTACAGTGAAAGGGGGGAAAGCAGACTTTTAAGCATGATTATATTAGTCTACTAAACGTTATATCTATTTAAAAAATCAAATTGATTTAAATTTAAAAAATCAACTGATTTAAATTGACCTGATTTAAATGAACCCAACCCTGTCTCTGTCTCTGTCTGTTTCTATTTCTGTCTCTGCTTCAGTCGCTGTTTCTGTCTATCCCTTTGTCTGTCTGACTTCTGAAAAAATGCAGCTAATCTAACTTAATCTCAATCTTTCTAACTAGCTGTTCGGAACAGGAACGGTTAT